TCCATTGGAACAATACCGAAAATTGTATGCGAAGAGTTGGACCAAACACATATATATCAATGTACATTAGGTAGGTCATTGCATGACAAATGACAGAAGCTTCCAACCTTGGAAGGCTTCCAAGCCCTGGACGTCCCTTTCCACCCCGAGGTCTGATTCTGTAGGTGTAGAGTGGCAAAATACAGGCGGTAAGACATTGTACCTGGAGGCACGTGATGGCAATTGAGATGCAATTGTTTGGTTTTTAACCTTGTCACTTCATCGTCTTTCGCTACCTGAATCTATCCTTGCATGCACTTGAACCAAGCTGTCAGTGCCATATCTCTTTCCATCCCCACAATATCCCATCTGGCATCGCGTTCATTGAGCCGCTGCCAAACCGTCCTGCGACCATGAAATTGAGCAAGAACCAGCTCAGAAGAGCCAAAAGAAAGGCCCAGAAAGCCGAGGTAAGGCAGATGTATCCCTCAGATTCTCTCAGTCACAGCCGATACAAAGCTGACACCACTACAAAGACTACGAGCTTACCAGTTGACTCTACCATATCACGGGAACGATCGCCTCCCCCAGTGGCTACTTCTCAGGATGCACCGGCTGACACCAAGACTGATCTGCTTCCCGAACCAACTGATCCGCTATGGGAAATGTACAAAGGTGTTGTCGAAAAATTCGACGAGACAGTGCATGAAGATTCATTGACGAAGGAGACCGATAAACCCGAGGTCTTCTTTGACGATGGTGATGAAATACCCGACGAAGAGCAAGAGAGCGAGCCGAAGGTCTCAAAAAAGAAACGGAAAGAAATGAACAAGCTATCCGTTGCTGAACTCAAAGCAATGGTACGAAAGCCTGAAATCGTTGAATGGACAGACACATCCGCTCCCGATCCTCGACTCCTCGTTCATATCAAAGCTCATCGCAATGTGGTACCGGTACCTTCTCATTGGTCGCTCAAACGAGAGTATCTCTCATCCAAGCGCGGAGTTGAGAAGGCGCCGTTTGCTCTCCCGAAATTTATACAGGAGACGGGAATATCGGAAATGCGCGACGCCGCTTTGGAGAAGCAGGAACAGTCAAGTTTGAAACAGAAGCAACGGGAAAGAGTGCAGCCAAAGATGGGAAAGCTGGACATTGATTATCAGAAGCTTTACGAGGCATTTTTCCGTTTCCAAACCAAGCCAGAGCTGACTCGCTACGGTGAGATCTACTATGAGGGCAAAGAATACGAGACCAACCTCAAGCACCTGCGACCTGGCGAATTGAGCGATGAGTTAAGAGACGCTCTTGGTATGGCCCCAGGAGCCCCTCCCCCGTGGCTTGTCAACCAGCAGCGATATGGTCCCCCTTCTTCCTACCCCGCGTTGAAAGTCCCCGGCCTTAATGCGCCGCCACCCCCCGGCGCGTCGTGGGGCTACCATCCTGGAGGGTATGGAAAGCCACCTGTCGATGAACACAACCGCCCATTATTCGGAGGTGATATCTTCGGCGTTTTACAACCTCAACAACATGCCCAGCAAGGAGAGCCGATTGAAAAAGATCTTTGGGGCGAATTACATGAACCAGAAGAGTCAGAAGAGGAAAGTGAAGCAGAAGAGGAGGATGATGAGCATGAAGAAGAAAGCGACGAAGATGGCGTGGGTGCAGGTGCTCATTCTCCTAGTGGCATGGAAACTCCAAGTGGAATAGACTCAACAGTACCATCTGAATTTGTTGGCGCTGAGAATGTTTCTGGGGAGTTCGATGTGCGCAAACACCATCGTGGTACTGACACAGAGGAACCCGTTCACCCTCGAAGTGCTTATCAAGTCATCCCCGAGAGACAAACGAATGTGGAAGGCTTTTTCGGCGGTGATAGGGCCTACGACCTCAGCGGATCAACAGGCAAGCCTCCTGTTCTCGGCGCAGATGACCAAAACCGGAAACGCAAGAAGCCTGGGGATGTTGAAGTGTCTGTTAACTTGGATGCAATTCAATCTGGCGATGGTCTCAGCAAAGAGAGCCTCCAGAGCATGTACGAGTCGCAGAGGCAGCAGCAGAATCCATCGAACTGGGCTTTCCAGGAGGACCTGAGTGACATGCTTGCACAGGAGAACCGCAAAAGATTGCGAAAGGAAGAGGAGAGGCGAAGAAAGCATTAAATATGCTTCCTTCATGTATTCTATTTCCTTTCTTTGCGGTTCCCGGGTGCGTGGTTCTTCCATTATGAGCATTGGAGTTTGGTTGCTTTGGTGTACACTCTAGGTTGCAAAAAGCTCTCTGGCCTGAAATGTACGGTTAGTTTTGAGTTAAGGTTCTTATTGAATAATCCATGAAACTTCAAAGGTTGTGTTATGTAGTTTGTCTGCGGAAATCTTCCTCGTCAGAGATAGCACCCATCGCTAGGTGTTGTACGTACTGTAGCTACATACATCGAGGCCCACAGTCACGGGGGTGGATTCCCGAAAGGGTTTAGCTCAGTCCTCTCATCTACCGCATTTCGATCCTTCAATTCCTTGTACTTTAATGTATTTACGCCTTCTCTCCCCAGGAGACGGAGAAAGTAGCACTGGGTAATTGTGTGCTCCTGTGCTCCTGTGCTCCTGTGCTCCGCCTCTATTTCCACCCCAGAGTACTTCATCCCACCTCTAATCTCCATACTCTGTGTCAGAATGGACTGGGATCGCAGAAGGTTTGTAGGCGCATCGGAACGTTTGAAAGGAAGAAAGTTTCTAAGTGTTTCCCTAGATTTGATGAACGAAGAGGTGGAGAAAGTTATCGTCCAGCCGAGAGAAACGGTCGTTCCCCTTCTCGTGGGTATGATATTCGTCACCGGCGTTCGCCACCACGAACCAGAAGCCCTCCTCGACCACGAGCCGACACTTGGGTACCTTCATCAAATAGAGGGTATTGCCGCCCACGAAGTCGGTCACCACCACCATACCGCCGCCGCTCACGTACTCCTCCGGGGAGGAACTTTGGTCCACCCCCCTACGAAAGACGACGATCCCCTCCAAGGAGATTCTCACCCAGAAGAGATGAAAGGGTCCAATCACCGCCCCAAAAATGGCGCTCAAAATCGCCATACAGTGATGGCAGATCACGCAACGCATCCCGTACCCGCAACAGCCCCAGAAGAATGCGTGATACAACCCCTGGCAGCCAAGTCTTCCGATCCGCGAGACGAGACGGGCCTGCTATCTTGAATATTGATAAACCCCCCAGACCTTCCTCGCCGAGAATACAGCCAGAAGTCTTGTTGCCACAGAGTCCAATTCATGCCTCGCATCGAGGCCACCCTCGTGATGCGGCGAAACGAGACCGGACTTTGTCGCCATCGAGGCATGTTTCACCTGCACAAGGCTTGGGCTCACAACCAGTCCTGGTATCTCGACGTTCATCGCCGACTATGGAAAAGCCCGTTGTGGTTTCCTACAGATCTCGTAGTCGGTCGCCGATTCGCTCTCCGGTAACCTTACAACGTTCGTCGAAACCCTCAGGTCGATCTCCGTACCCGGATCAGACATACGATGCGGAGCCCTCTCACTCAAAACAACGGTCAGATTACGAGGACCGAGTATCGTCTGACAATCATTCGCCTTTTTCGATTCCAGAGAGAGCACATTTGGAACCTCAGACAAGCGGGACGAAGGTCGGTGGCAACGTCCCAACTCAACCGAAAAATCACAATGCAAGTACGCTTCCACTGCCGCCATCAGGGCCTTATCAGGGACCGAGGCCGCCATCCAATCAGCATCGTGGTCCTTCACATGTCTCTTTACTATCAGCGCCAACGCGTCCTCGCCGCGGACCTGGCCCACGTGAAGCTTGGACGGGGTCTCCGCCGGTACGCCGCGGGCCTGTTGCACCTTCGCAAGGCCCACCAGCCGGTCCTCGCGCTTCTTTTTCATCCCCCATACCTGGTGGCAGTTACCGACATCCACCTTCCCGGCAACCCAACACTCCATTTGTCACTCAACCATTGGCTCAGAGGGGGGTCAACCATCTTGCGGGGCTATGCACTATCGTACCGGAAGGTCGGAGTCTTCCGTCGCTTCTAGATCCTGCTGTGGAGAAGCGGTTGGCTCAGCTTGATGCGGACAAAGAAAAACTCCTCGAGCAGATTGCAGAGACGCAGAGGTCCAAGCGAGCGGAACTTCGGGACTGGGATCGACTCGATCGCGAAAGCTCAATCTGCGCTCTTAAGAGCGAGCTAGCTGAAGGCCATCTCCAGCGAATGGCCGATGAGAGTATTGGGGGCGGAAACTTGTTCTAGCGAGGTAAATGTACATGTTTGTCGTACAGTGGCAATTGATCTCGGCGTCTTTATCTGGTCATGAGACGGTGGTGTTAAGGTGTTGGGCAGGTTTAGGTAGCGGTTATGATTTCTTTTCTTCCAGTGTTATATCAATATGATGACTTGACGACATTATGCGATTCCGAGGCTGTTAGGTGGGGAGTTATTGTGCTTGTAGACGTATTGAGTATATTAAAGGTAGCAGATATCTGGGATAGCTGCAATATCTACATATGTATGCATGTACAGAAGTCAAATCACATACCCAAGAATTTAATGCAAGGCATATGTACTTACTAGTAGGGGATCTAGATCACTGTTATAGATACAATACTCCTGCCGAAGTATTTTCACTGCTAAAAAGCACTCGTTCAATACTTTATGTAATGTACCTCCGGATGTAAGATATATTTACGTATATGTTACATACATATCTTGTACGTACGTGTATCCATTGTTCCTGATCTGCGCGTAATTTAAGTTCCCCTTCCGTTTCTTGCCTTCGTGTCAACAACTCGACTGTTTTGGTGTAGACTCCTACCAATTCTCACCCTTCTCCTCTCCCTTTTTCTCTCTCCTGGCTTAGGTCACCATTCCCACTGCTAATTGAGACACGTTTCCGGCATAATGAATATCTTCAGGTTATTAGGTACTGACATAAAACCAATGGAAAGCAATATATACTAACGCTCAATCGCAGCCGACTTCTCCCATCTGGCGTCGATCTTCATGCTTCTGCAGAAGATGAAGACGTCAAGCGTACGTCCTTCTATCCACAAAGCCACATATGCTTGCGACTAATGGCGGATCGCAGAGTTGTTCCGGGTTGTCGTTCAAATCGCAGGTGCTATACCTTCTCGTTTTTGTCACTCGTTATCTCGGTAGGTTACGATGTTGCTGTCGGCTTTATGTTCATATCGCTGACGCGCTTTATAGATCTTTTCTGGACATTCACCGACTCCCTGTACCTCACCACGTTCAAGCTTCTGTTTATCGGTTCCTCGGCCTACGTCATCTACCTCATGCTCAACGACTACAAACCCACACATGACCCCAACATTGATACTTTCAAAGTTCAATACCTCCTCGGAATTAGTGCGGTGCTTGCAATTCTCTTTCCACGCGATTATCGCATCTCCGAGGTTGGCTGCATCCTATCTATAGAGTTGGAAAACAATCAAGACTAACGTTATGTAGATACTCTGGACTTTTTCCATCTGGCTGGAGTCGGTTGCCATATTGCCACAACTATTCATGCTACAACGAACCGGGGAGGCAGACACCATCACCACCCACTATCTGTTTGCCCTGGGACTCTATAGGGCACTCTACATCCCGAACTGGATCTTCCGCTATTTCACCGAAGCCTCCTTCCAACGTTCATTCCAGCCTGTGACCATTATCGCTGGAATCATCCAAACGTTGCTTTACTCTGATTTCTTTTACATCTACTACAACAAGTAAGCCCGACCAAGAAAAATCCAGACGTGTGGTGTGGACACTGACGTTCGCGCTCTTTTCTCCCAGGGTTTTGAAGGGCAAGAAGTTCTCGCTTCCTGTTTAGAGTCCTTTCTACCTTTTGAATTAGTTGAGGAATTTATGATATCTTGGATCTTCCAAGTCCGAGATGGAATTTTGAATCTGATCCACTCGTTCCTTTTATATTTGCCTGGAACACTGTGATCACCTATCTCACAGGCACCAAGTGCCTTGAACCAATGCAACATCCTCTCAAGCCCCGCCACTGGGAGTTGCTATGAATTAATGTTTTCATGTCGCCAATCTGTATGCATTTAGGAATGGTCACTTGAGGCAATAAACCCGCAATTGACTGGCGAATATCGAATATCGAATATCCCGGACCATGTGCATATCTGATTGTATTCTATGTCAGTGAAGGGAAATCCTGTTTGGTCGAAACTTCTGTACTTTTAGGTCATTTGGTCTACCATTCAAAGCCTATGTATGCGAGATTCAAGTTCGATTATTCAATTATTCAGAGTATTCTTTTGGTATTTTTTTGGGTTCTTTCCATTTTTATTCGATTTTCTCCCCTTCCATTCAATATTGACATCCCTTGTCTCTTCGTACACTCGTCCCGTAACGGATGGGAATCGACTTCTTGCCCCGTTCGTGCATACACCACCCATCAGATCTGTGGTTGAAAGGAAGCATAAAACGAATCTAGAGGCTCCTGGCAAAGTATACTTTTGGGGAATACACAACTAGTGTACCCCGATAATATCAAAGAGCAACATCCACAGTCGACCAGAAAAGACAATCAGAACTCTCGCTGAGGCACAGTCCCATGCGTCGGGACATATCCCGTCGTGTAGCTCAGTTGGGCCGGAGGGATGGATAAATCGGTGGAGAATGGATCCAAGGTGCCAGCAATTGAGTGTGAAAGACTGCCCATGGGACCCTGGAACGACCGAACTCCGTTACCTAGATTCGAGCGGCCTTGCACATTTTGATGACTATCCAGCCAGCTACCGTGACCATGTAAATGACCAAAATAGTCTGCTTGCGTCCTGTCGAGGGGGATCTGACCAGCAAACGTCGATTCTCGTCGCGAAATTGGCGGCGACGGGAGTTTGGGGGATCGAGAGACCATCTCCAGCCTGGGGGAGCTTCTTCGCGAATTAGGCGGCGTCAAGCGTGAACCCCCACGGCGCACCTGGCAGGTTGGGCAGATCTTGACGAAGCGGGAGATCAGTTCCTTGGGAACCCTAACGAGATAGTCAGTGTGAATCAGACACGCCATGTACGTATATAAAGCGACTCGGATTTGCTCACCATGAATAGATCCGCCGGACCTGAGCAGATGTCTTGTCTCGGCCACCATGCTGGCATTGTTGATGGGCCTTGGTGAGGATTTTGAACAATTTTTCCCGGATTGCAACCGGCTTTCCCTCATGACAGATCATTTTCCTATGCTTTATGTCGCAACGAAACCGCTCCGTCAGCATCCATCCTATCCGTTGGGGCAAGAGAGACTTACATCCGATCCCACAGCTTGGAGCTTGAACATCTTTTTGACCCAAAACCTGATTTGCTTAGCAAGGCAATTGATTGAATCAAAGAGATCCCGTACCGAAATTGAGCCGACTCCACCGCCGTGTCTTTGGGGTCAATCAATACAGTTCTGATGTTACGGGCTCTTTTAGCATAGATCAACGCTTTATCTTGCTTCTTGATGGACAGGTCCTCAACGTAGCTAGAATGATGAAATATCAGCCCCAAGTGCTTTCGGTTTATCAAGAATCACTCACTTCTGCATCAGTTGGTCAAACTCCTTTACATCAGGGAAGCCACTAAGTGCGGGCACTACAGCCTCTGACAACAATGTAGCCTCGTTGTGAGACTCCTGGTTTTCAATCTCCGTTTCACCCAGCGGGTCGCGAGGCAGATACCTTGGCCCTTGGAGGTAGCGCGACTGGGACATGAACTGCGGCGGATGGTGTAGCCGGGGGTCATCTGGGGTTGTCGTCGATGGAATCGAATGTTCCGACGTATATTGCAAATGCTGCAGCCCCGGAGACAGACTCGACTGCGGGCCATAGGGCTGCCCAAACTGAGATCCGTATGGATTGAAGGAATGCTGGGGGAAATGATATGAACCAGAACCATGGGTGTTGAAGTCATGGCTTTCTTGCTTGAAGTCATGACTGTCTTGCTGACCATAGGAGCCAGGAACTGCCATTTGGTGATTCATGAGATACGCATCGTTACCTTCGTTGCGCCTTGCAAAGCTGCTCATAATTGATGCCTTGCTGAGTTGGAATGCCAATTGATTATTGTTCAGCTCACGTCGATCTGTTTCAGAGAGATAGGAGAATAGGATAAACAAAAAGGTGTATAGAAAATAAAAAAAATAAAATAAAAAGTAAGGCCAGTATACAGCGAGTCTCCGAGGGAGATGATGATAATGAAGAAACGAAGACTGGGGCTAACTCGTTTGCATGTAGAGGAATTGCCACAGTACCCTGGTATACCACAGCAAGTATCACAAAAAGAAGAAGAATTGAACTGTGTCTAGAAGATCACAGTGTGAAGAGATTTAGAAAGAGAGAAGGAATAATTCACAGAAAGCCCATCTGGAAACGGGGTATCAATTCTATTAAAAAGATCCCAATGGAAAAACAGTGCAGGACTGACATGGCTGATGCCCAAGATGAAGTGCACGAGACCATCGAGGGCAGAGACAACAGAGGGCATCCCTGGAAGACGAACAGCAAATATTCCACAGAGAAAAAGAAATGATGGAGCCAGGCGAGTCGAACAGAGCTCTGTAAGGTACGGAAGCATAGGTTACCAAAGCTTTGCAGGGAAGATAGCGGCATGGGTCTAACGAAAAAAAAAGAAAAGAAAAGCAGCAAGAAAGGACTGGGGATCGTGGTCAAGATTCTTTCCGACCCGCCGAAGGTATCGAAAAGTGGAAGCAGGCTGATACGACAGCGCACAGAAGCAATGGTGATACGGATTCCTGCCTCTGCCTTTGCCCTGCAATCTTTTCAAGAAGCCACGTTGAAGATATGGGGAGTAGACAGGCTATTCGAGGCACCCTATCGGAGGCAGTGATGACTTTGGGGGAAACCCCATTCTTTTCTGATTTGACCGAAGTACAGCGGGGGACGAAATCATCATCTCCCCGAATTTTCCTATACTTAGTGCGGAACAACTCTACCCCGTATGGAATCTTCCCGACTCGAATCAGGAAAAGGGAACTCTTTGCCTCTGCACGTTTGCTTCGTCAAACAAAGTCGGCAGGAGATTCGGTAAAAAGGGATTTGTCCATGCAAGTAGCCGTGCAAATTGGTAAGGAACATGGATTGAGAATCCCCCACTCTGGGAAGGTTTGCATCTTCAAGCTCCCCGCTTCGAGAAGAGAGAGGAAAGAAAGAGAGAACGGAGTCGTCAATAGTACATCGATGTACGGACAATGGGCAAGATCCCTCGAGGAAGTTTTCTAGGGAATCCCTGTCATGTCAATGTTGTACTGCCATGTTGTCCCACTGGATTGGTTATTTCTTTTTTTTTTTTCTCATTTCCCAGAGAGATGCAAGTGAGCATCCGAGAAGATGCTTTCGATTTGACGTGGCATTTACCAAGGCCAAAGGACTTTTGCATGAAAAAAAAAGAAGAAAAAGTACAAGTACCCGGGATGACAGGATGACATACGTTTGGCTGAGAGGTGAGACATCGGAGAAGGTTCGGACCCTCGCAGACTCCAAAACATATCTGGTGTGACGATGCTACTTCCCGGTATCTTATACACAATATAACATACATATGTAGTATTCAAGGATTAAACTGTATGTACTCTATAGTTACATAGCCTTCAGAAAGAAGAGAACAATAAATTCATGAATCATCATGTCTTCACGTCGTAAGTTCATGTTAGTACATTGTGCACAGGTAAAAAGGGGAAAAGGGGGAAAAAGCTCATGCAGATGTCAAATCTGCTCTATGCCGATCCATCAAAGGCCACTAAATCACGGATGATCCATTTCCAATGATTCTCATGATCGCCTCGATCGAATACCCATTTGTCAACCTTGCGTCTCCACTTGTCTTCCTCGGCCCGCTGTCGTCGAATGAATTCTGGGCCGACATCAAATTCCTCTGTCATGGGTCCTTCATCAGAGGATTCACCGGCACTTGCATCGTCCCCAACTGTTGGGAATTGCTGGTCCTCAATCGCTCCAGCTTTTCGTCCATTGATGGTGACCTTGTCATCCAAGTCGTCTAGACCGGCAAACACGTCGTCTTCGTCTGCTCCAAGTGACGCCCTGAGCCAACACATACGATGTGGATCAAAGACCATTCCACCAACGGTTTGGACATTCTGCATCGCACCAACGTTGGTGATGAGAGCCGGCGCAGGTTTGGGTGATTTGGGAGTGGCATCAAATTCCTGAACCAGATTTTCGTTTCCTTCCCATCGGAAATTGGTAGGGTTGTAACGCATACCCCTCACAGCTGAAAACGGTCAATGAGATAGGGGCAAAATCATGCAAATAGAGGTCTTGCTTACATTTGGCATCCTGCACCCCAGATCCCATGGGCTTGATCAAGTGTGGCTTGGAGGTTGGTTTGGCATTCGGTTTACCTTTTCGGCTTCTGATCGTTGCAGAGGCCGGGGGAATCCTCGGGATAGGTTGGGACTTCCAGTTAGAGTTGAACGTCGAAAGAGGATTCGGTTCACGGCCTTTGGAGTTAATAGTCATGGATGCAATGCGTTGTTCCCTTGCATTTCTAGATGCATTTGTATCCCGCGCAAACCTAGGGGTCGGACTGCGCAATTTGGAGGTTGATGGGGACGTTAAAGATTGAGTAGGTGATTCATCAGGGGGTTCAACCCGGCTCTGGCTGAGTCTGGCGCGGACCGACCTTGGAGCACCTCGACCGATGGGGGTTTTGACAAACTTGCTCTCTGCCAAGACCGATGTAGATAGGTCATCAAATGACTCCAGCTCTGTTCCATCCCCGAAATTGCGTCTTTTAGTGGGTCGTGTGATTGTACGTTTTGTAGAGGAACCGAGAGAGTCCGCGCTTGTGTCGCCAAACCCAGCACGGAGCGGCTCATTGCGGGTTGGTCGGGAGAGTCGAGAGACTGTGCCCTGCGGACTAAGAAGCCCACCAGAGCTATCTGAATTTGTGCGACGTGATGAGCGATACCCCTTCACACTGGCATGGTGGGATTGTGATTCCGACACACCAGCCGGCATAAATGGCACCTGTGGCCTGCGACCCAGCGAGCTCGTATCGGTTGCGGGGAGATCCGCCGGTGTTTTAGGTCTGGCAGAGGGAAGGCGGACTGGGCGATCGACCGGTGGTCGCTGGGAAGTGGCCATTGAAGCCGCCGAGCCTAGACCACGAATGGATGGCAGGGATCGCTTGGTCTTCAGACGCCTAACTGAAGTGTTACCCTCGCCAGCCTGGGCAATGTCCCGGGAATTGCGAGACCCGAGAAGCCGTCGGCTAGGAGTCGGCGATTTCGGATTAGCGCTAGGGGCCGGGAGACTTGAGGTTGACGATTGAGACGAGTGCCCTAGACGCGATTGTGACGTTCGAAATTTGGAAAGAGGCGCACCGCTTTCTGACACAGTCTCAAGGTGGGTTGAATGGGTCCGATCATGACCGGATAAGCGTGGAATACGAGTTCGTGGAGATCCCGTCGCACTGGTGAACGTGAGTGTTGTTGCAGATCGACGAGTCGGGCTGGATGGCCTTTCTGTTTTACACTTTATGTTGGGATTCAGAGCGGGTTTTCCAAAGGAGAATGCCTTCTCATTGTCGATATCAATGCCAGAAAAGAAGTCCTCAGCGTCAGAAGGAACATGATCCACCTGACTCTCTCCCGCTTCAATATTCTCAGCTTGGGCAGTCTGTCGCTTCTGGAGAGAAGCGCTGAAATCAAGGGGACCTTCGGGAATGACGATACCGTCGAGGCCATCGTCTTCACTTTCTGCTGTGAGACAGCTTGAAACGCTGGGGCTGGCGATGGAGATGGAAGAACTGGGGATCGAACGACCATCCCTTGCGGTACCACCAACTCGTACACCGATACTTCCTTCAGACCACTCAAGATCAAAGTCATCCAAAGTCGGACTGGAAACGTAGAGATTTGCTTTTCGATGGGATAATTCGAGAGGCTGATGATTGGCGGGAAGTTCAAAGTCCTGGTTGAAGTCATCTTCTGCCTCCTGTTCAATGTTGAAGCCACTGCCAACATTGCCAACATTGCCAATGTCCAATTTATTCGGAGATCGAGGAGCTGGCGCTTTGAGCGTTGGGATATCCCCAGTTTCCAAGCTATCATTGTCGTCTTGGAATGTGTCAAATGGCCCCAAGGTAGACTGCAAGCGCGTCGAGAATTCGTCATCCCAAGATGGGGAGGCCGCGGATTTCACTGGACTGGTAGCAGCAGAGCTCAAATTTCGAAGGGAGTCGGGAAACATAGTTTCCCGAGGGGTTTTGAGCTGTAACAGAGTTTCAGGATTCGGGAGCTCAACGTCTTCTGACCAGTCATCAACAAAAGTTTGCTTAGTCTTTCGAGTTGACAAGCGCTTGATCGTGCCCCCAATAAGAGCTGACTTGGGGATATCTGGAGGAATGGGAATGCCCGCAGTCTTGGCCGAAGCAATGGCATCTTCTTTTGCAAATTCATCGTTGTCATAGAGCGGTACCTGCCAGTCTTCGTCGCCCACATTGGAATCAATATCTGAGCGAACAGAGCGTCGGGAGGAGATAGAATCTCGGTGCCCAGGCCGAAATGACGAGTTCGTTATGGACCCAGAGCTGGACGCGGTGCGAAAGTGAATATCCTCGCTGAACTGCAAGTCGTCGTCATCATCCCAGCATTCAATCGGCTCGTCGGTACCCGGTCGTAGGTGGATTGGTGAAGATTCCATGATCGGCGAAGCGAATTGATCGAAGGCGTACAGAAAACACAGAGGTCATGAGATTGTTATAGGCGTCCAGAAGCGGTTGTGAATTAAGTGGCAGACTCAGTGTTTTGCGACACTGGTGAGGGTTCAGGGGGTGCGAACATGAGCGTCATTCCGTGTCGGTTGGTAGGGACGACAGATGGCAACAAGTGAGAAGCACGGCTTGACTGTTTATCGTAGCGTGACGAGGCAACTCGAATATTAAAAGGCGGGTTGTTAGAGAAATCAGCCCAATGAAGGTCGGCCTTGATCTAGAGTCGATTTCGCCGAATGAGACCAAGCGGGTTCACTGGGCGACCTGATAAATGCCAGGTCCTCGTCCATAAACATTCACCAGAAGAGGACACTTAGGATTGGGAAGACACCAAGACACTTGATTCCCACCGTTAGTATTCGCGGGGGATTCAAGGAACTTAATTGCGAGAACGAGGAGGAAACAGGGGAAAAGGGTGTGTCGGTTGTGGCTGGATCTCAAATTCCTCGTGGAGGAGAGGAAGAACGTGACAGATCCCCGTATCGGTAATGTATCTCGGTAATAATTTTACCTGGATATTCGGTGGAGACTGCATACATCCAAGAGTACAGTACGTATTAAATACACAACCATTACAAGTAATTAATAGAACGTTGATGTCCCCTCCGTATTTACCGTTCGTAGGTACGCTATGTATATATACATATGTACTACAGGTTCGTGTTGAATGCCAAGCTGTCAATATAGGTATAGCATCTACAAGATACTTGCTATTTCACGCAGATTTAACAATTGTCGGTGGTAATCAGAAATTGTACATATTAATTGGGTAACCAGTACATTTCACACTTACCCTTCTAATATGTAACATGTGGCCGGTATCTGACACCTTCCAAGTACAGTACCCCGTACCTCCTATGTTCTCAACTCGAGTTCTGTTGCCTTGGACTGTTACCATACATACATGTAGGCAATTGATATTTCGCTTATAGCTATCCTCTATTCTTTCTTACAATTTTCTCCACGTCCTTCTCACCTGAGTCTTTCCAAATATGCCATCTCCTGCTTCAACAGAACCTCGAATCTTGCGATTTCCTAGGTCTGACGAGACTGGGGCTTTCGTACTCGTCCATATCTCGTGTACTGGTCCCGCGCCGCTTGATCTGAGCCTGACGGCTACCGAAGGGGAATCGCCCTATGTTAGCTTCGGTGGGTCGTCACAGAATGAAGTTTGAGAGTTATGAGCTCACGTCTCGCAGTGAAACAATCACGCTTGAAAGACCTTCAAGCAAAGAATTACCAAGGATCCCATGATGAGTGGGTTAAAACAGTCTCTCTCGTTCTGGGACAATCTTCTGCTCCTCCTGATGAACCAGATTGGGCCACTGGTATCGAAGCTTCGGCCAGTATATCGGGTTCCGATGAAGACAAGGAAATTGTGATCACGATACGCAAGCGAGTGCAGACTATCACAGTTCGTATTCCATGCCGGTGGGTTATATGTATATATATCCCTACTAACCTAATATAGCAACGCCTTGGTGCCTTTACCCTCAAGCAAGACGATGAACAAGCTGTCGAGCTTTTTGAATGGACAGGAATCACTGCGGCTAGAGCTCATATGCTAGAGCAACAAGTATCCAGCCTGACTGGCCGTTATCGCCTTGCCGAAGATACCATACATAGGTTGAATGAACAGCTTGAAGAGCTCATGCATGCAAAAACTGAGCATGAGAATCAACTGGTGGCCAATTTTGTGCAGGTCTTGAACGAGAAAAAGCTTAAAATCCGAAACCAGCAACGTCTTCTGGCATCGGCTACTGTGGATGCCACCAAAGGCAGGTGGTACAAACAGATAAACCTGGATATCTTGACTGACTAAATATCGATAGTCTCCGAGATACAAGCTAGCATTGCCGAAGACTCACATGCAAGTGCCGAGAAATCCCATTCAGCAAAGAGAAGTGCTCGCAAGATGAGCGACACAGATAACTCTGATGGTTTCGAAAAAATGGATATTGATAAAATAAAATCTGATCGAAATGCCCCGAATAACAAAGCCACCGATGACGAAGAGCATTCGACCTCTCATCCTTTGGACGACGAACAAAACAATAGCACGACGGACGCCGATTCGTCTCAGGATGAACCTGCCCAGCTGAAGCGAGTCTCACCAGCGAGAGACACCGCGCCACCTCGAAGAGATTTGCCATTTGCTTCAAGGACCAGCGGACCTATGAAGACTGCTCTAACCCAACCTCAGCCCAGCGAAGATGGCGAAGAAACGGCGGGAGAGACAGACGATGATGAGCTCTAAATTGGTCACCTGGAACAAATTAGATAAAGTAGTTCAAAAGAGCGAGATGCAGTTCCATCTTATGTGCAGAACAGCACCCAATCGACGCAGGAGTCAAGTGTACCTCTTGACTACTTAGGTCTGTAGATATCTAAATAATGTTTACTCCTTGATCTTGCAATACATGTATAGACGGATCTCTCTCCGTTTTGTCTTTCTTTCTCTGCCCTGTCCTTGTCGTTGGGATTTCTTTTTCTTTTTCCACCCCAGAAGTCATTTCGCCCAGTATAATTTCCCTTCATTCGTACCGTAGAAATCCTCAACTGTACTTTCCCATTCAAAAGCTGCTACGCACAGAATTATGAAAGTAGCACACGTTCATCATCTCCGACGCCCATGGACTCGAAATTTTGGGGGTTCAGTCTTTTATGTACAAGGCAACCACTACCGATTAATCCCAGGCGACACCGGAGGATGGCGAAGAGGTCAACAGGAACCAGAAGGGCGTCCAAGATGATAGGGAAAAACACAGAGGATGGAAAGGAAACAGTACATCAAGAGGGAAATTTAAGATGTGGTACAATAAAAACGCCTGCAACCATTAGAGAAACACAGAATGAGGTCAAAATAGACCCCGATCTAACCATACAAAGCCTGAGGAGACATTTCTCCTGCGGCCATGAAGTTGGTCTCAGGGTTTCCAGTAGCCTTGGCAGCGGAGGCGCGGGCCATGGTGGGCGAACTAAATCAGAGTTAGCAACCTTGGAATGCAAATCGATTAATGAGGCATGACGCGATAGGGTACTCACCTTCTGGAGATAGCGTCAGTGAAGAAGAAGTCTTCGATCACCTTCTTGAAAGGAGCCCCAGTGGCTTGAGATCCCTTGTTCTGGTCCACAAGTTGGACCTTGCTCAACGAGCCAACCGAGGTCGGCTCAACAACGTCGTAGCGACGCATGACAGGGCTGATCTCCTCCATCCGGTCGCGAAGAGCCTCGATATCATCATAAGGAAGAGGAGCACCGAGGAATTCGCTAGTGGCACGGATGATCTTCCAGTCATCGCGAGCTGCGCCGGGAAGAGAAGTGGCAGCACGGGTAACTTGCACGCGACCTTCTGTGTTGATGTATGTGCCTGACTTCTCGGTGTATGCAGCGCCCGGGAGAACGACATCAGCAAGTTGAGCACCGCGATCACCATGGTGTCCCTGGTAGACGACAAAAGCATCCTTCGGGATGTCGCTTTGGGCAATCTCGTCTGCACCCAAAAGCCACATCATCTTGGGGGTGGTTTGAGCAACCTGGGAAGATGGTGCAGTGAAGCCAACTTCATAGGCACCAGCTCGAGATGCGGCACGCTGGAGGACGTTATAGCCCTGCCACTCCGGGGTAATGAAGTTGCTTGCATTCTTCTCGACGAAACCACCGACAGCCTCGAAGATTGCCTTGGCGTCAGGGTGCTCTACAGCAGCGCTACCGACAATAATCATTGGCCGTTTGGCTCCGGCAAGCTTCTTGCCGAATTCTCCGGACAAAGCGGATTTCAAGGAAGAGACATCAGTGCCCAAATGGTTGAAGTCAAATGTACTCTCAAACTCCTCGCCGACAAGTCCAATCTCAAGATCAGATCTAATATACTGCTTGCGGATACGGGCGTTCAGAACAGCGGCTTCGTGACGAGGGTTTGTTGCGATCAAAAGGATTGCATCTGCCTCCTCGATTCCATAGATCTTGGAATTGAACAGGTAGTTGGAACGGACATCGATACCGTGAGCAATGGGGGCGCCACCTCCAGGTTGATCCAGGGCAAGGTTGTCGGAGCCGAGCTTGTTCGCCAGGTCCTTCATGGCAACGAGCGACTCAGCATCAACCAAGTGTCCAGCAACAGCCTTGAACTCATTTGCTTGTGGCTGCAGCTTCTCGTGGGCCGATGAGATCTCCGTTAGAGCCTGTTCCCAAGTGGCAGGGACGAATTTACCCTCCCGACGAATGAGCGGCGTTGTGAGCCGTTGGGTCCTCAACCCATCGCATGCGAACCGCGACTTGTCATTGATCCATTCCTCGTTAATATCGTCATTCAGTCGGGGGACAACCCGCATCACTTCCAGGCCTCGGCTATCAATCCGGATGTTAGAGCCAAGAGCGTCAAGGACATCGATCGATTCGGTGTGCTTGAGCTCCCATGGGCGAGCCCGGAAAGCATAGGGCTTCGAAGTTAGTGCACCGACAGGGCAAAGGTCAATGACATTGCCCGAGAGTTCTGAGTTGAGGTTCTGCTCAAGGTAGGTTCCAATTTGCATGTCGTTTCCGCGACCGGCAGTTCCTAGTTCTGGGGCACCGGCGACGTCATTCATGAATCGGACACAACGAGTGCAGTGGATGCATCGATTCATTGACGTCTTGACCAGTGGGCCGATGTTCTTATCCTCCACGGCACGCTTTCCACCGCTTTCATGGAATCGACCCCGATCGGCACCGTAACGCATCGACTGGTCTTGGAGATCACACTCTCCTCCTTGGTCGCAGACAGGACAATCGAGGGGATGATTGGCGAGGAGGAACTCCATGACACCCTCTCTTGCCTTGTGAACCAGCGGTGAATTCGTCTTCACCACCATGCCAGGTTGCACCGGCCAAGCACAGGAGGCCACTGGCTTTGGGGCACGTTCGACTTCGACGAGGCACATACGACCTATAGTTTCGGTAAGTACATATGCCTCAATGGCGCGGAATGGGGAATTGTGGGTTTCACATACAGTTTCCTGCAACCAAAAGTTTTCTTAAGGGACTAGTGTCAGCAAAAACAATATGTGTGACTCGATCAAAAGCACATACTCATGGTAACAATATCTGGTGCATGTTAGTATTGCAAGCAAATCGGATTGGTGAAGTCTTGCCGTACCTGGGAACCGTGGCACCTGCCTGCTCACAGGCCTGGATAAGGGCCGAGCCAGCTTTGGGGAGAGAATGTCAGTGAAGGTTCGATAGGTGATCTCGAGGGATTATTTACCTTCTACCGACACCTTTTTGCCATCTAGAGAAATGAGCCATCAGCTATCGATCAATTGGGATGGACTAGATCAAGATTGGACCTACCAATGGTGAGTTCCACCTCGGCCGCGCGAGGGGCTGTAGTCGCGAATGCCCGGGGGGTGACCTTAGGAACTCGGAGGGACCGGGCGGCCGCACGAAACAGCTGCGGCCGCATCATTGAAAGGAGAACAGAGATGTGAGGGTGGGAGATAAGGTGGAGGAGGGCGAGGGGGTGAGATCTTAGTGACGGCTGGGAGTTCAGAGAGCACTTTGCATCGGAATCTGCGGTTCTAAGGTTACATAATGGGAGTGCTGACCATCATATTGCTGACTAAGGACAACGGCAAATGGGCTCACGGGGATTGGCTCGATTGACTCGGTTAGGCGGACAAACTTCCGCTCCGGGTTTCTTTAAAAGGCCACCGTTTCTTCCCCCTTATTCTCCTTTTCCTTTCTTCAATTAAATTGTTAACGGGCATCATTTATTGTAGGAGACAGGCCATTTCCCTGTTCCTCTTTCCTCTACAGCATGTCCCAAGAGCAGAATTGCACCGTAGCTGGAGCTGTCAAGGGTTCGCCTAATGATGACTTTGTTCCTTACCAACGGTAGCTACATCATTCCTGAAATATAAATTTGTACATTTTCCAATATGATCCTTCTACTGATCCTATCCATTCTGAGATTAGCGTAAGATATTGCTAGATCACATCTATTGAAATTTCGGGTGGCAATCTGGACTCTAGTGTAGACTATACAACCAAAGTACATCTCTATGCCCTGCGCGTCCTAGGCAGGATACACACAACAAGGGGAAAGGATAGTAACGTAAAAGCTCTTTCGAGCAACACCTCGCTACCATGATATCATACACCAAACTAATAAAATACAAATGCTAGGCTGCAGCTTGAGAATCACTAACCTGCCAAGTGGATTCTTGTTTGGTGCCTGGTAACCAAGTACGGGAAACACTGGCCCCTCTTGGTCGAACATGTCCGGGCCGATCGTCTTCCTTCTTGGAGTTGTTTGCTGCAGCATGGGAGTTGGGGGCACCGTCAAAGGCCCTCCCCGCAGGAAAAGCATAGCCATTAGAATCCCATGGCTTACTTGAGTGCCGCACATTCATTGGAAGAATAGACTGCTCCGCACGGAAATGATCCGTATTTGCCCTTTGGTCAGCTACATCATCATGGCTATTGCGATCATAAAGGTAGAGGCCAACGAAAGTGAGGCCAATACCAAATGCTTGAATCGAGGTGGTCGAGCTCCCAAACCATATAATCGCTACCACGATCACGAACACACGCTTGACCAAGGATGCAACCGAATAGGACACAGGAGAAACCATTGACAGTAACACAAAGGCCAGGATGTTTTGGGCAAAGTGTGAGACCCCATTAAACACAAACTCAAGAGAAAGAGCACCGTGGTCCAATGAGCCTTGCTTACCCGAAAGCGATATCACGCCATCATTGATGAAATCAGACACTAGTGGGTAACCCTCGCTCACGAACCAAATAGGCAGAGTCAGGAAAAATGCCAGCCCGGAGCAATAGCAAAGCAAGTTGAGTTTGTCCAACTTCCGCCGTCCGGGGTTTTGCAGATCTGATTCTGCACGGTCCGCCTCGTTGAACAGCTTCTTCGAGAATATGTTTTGCGAGACAAAAACAAGAGCCGCACCAAATGCGCAAAAAATACCGAAGAAGTTTGTAGATACTCCGGTCGAGCACGCAAGCATCACACCAACAGTCAAAGGGATCAGCGATAGATAGGTTGCCCGGGCATATCGAATGCGAAACAGGATCCGGTATGCTAGAACTGTGAAGAGGGGCGAAAGGCCCTTGATGGTGTGGACTAAAGATACGGGGATTTGTGCAGTGGCCATAGAGCTCAGAATGTGACCGGCCAATTGAAATACTGCCAGGGGCAATGCTGTGGAAATCACGTCGCGGGATGGGTAGCGAATTCCATGTTGAAGGACCGGGATAATTTGTCGCAACCGCGGTATGATTGTGGAGAGATATACCAATAGCAAACACCAAAAGGAGACAAATGCAAATTGAATCATTGTCAATGTGATCGGCATCGGAAGGGCGTTCAATATCGATTTTGAAGACGTATTTGTGAGGGCAGAGGTCAGGTACCACACAACACAGAGAGCCTTGAAACAGTGTGTTAGCGAGCGGCCTCGTCCAAGGAGTTTCTTGTATGTGTGAATTCCTCAAAAGCTAACTAACATACAGTGAGTCGGTAAGAGACTGGGGCGCGAAGTGCTTCGGCCAATTCATGAGCATTGGCACTCATACTGCCATTGCGTGTTCTGATTGTCGTGATGGCTTCGCTGATGCTCTTTCGTGGGCGGTGTTTGGGATTTCGTAATGATCCGTTCCCATACTCTCGCGAGTAAAAGCTTGCTTTTCGGGGTTCCCAGAGCTCGTTCGGGGCATATTTCACCGAGGCGCTTCGGTTTGGACGAGTTGACCCCGCGACGGCGTCGAGGGTGTCTTCTTCGTAAGGCGGAAATTTGTCTATCGGGCTGGTCGTTGATTGAGGAACGGAGGATTTGGTTGGGATTTGCAATTCGGCCTGGCGCATTGAGGCGCGTCGCCCATGGCCGGTTACTGTAGTTGTAGCCATCTTCCACGACCCGGAACGTCTAGACTATCTTCAGAGACGTCAATTCCCCGGAACCCGAAAAGAACCCGCAGTTGGTGTCACTTACCCGAGAAGGGCGAGGAAGCAGCTGCGGAGAGACAATCCGCTCAATGGTTTTAGGATATGTGTCCGCTTCACTAATTAATGGAGGAAAAAGGGCGGGTTGGTTCGCCGGTTTATCGATGTCGATGACGAATCTCCTTGGGCGAATGAGCGTCGAGTATAGAAACACACCCGTTGGACACGCTTTCGGCGAAGCCAAGCGATCGAAAGGATACGTGAATATACCTAGTGATGCGTAGGCATATGTTAGACAGAGGAATTGTTGGAAAAATCTATGAGAAGATGTCTGTCCCCGTAATAACTTGCGCGACCACGGATATGCAGTTTGATTTTCCACGGAGTACCGCCACTTACACTACGATACGAATTTCATGTTGATAATAAGGAAGTCTAGAGTATCTACAAGCAAGATGGATGATTATTCCTATTGCACAGTGATTTATACTGTGTATTATTTTCTACCATTCCCCTCCTGCTTTCTATAATAAGAAAATGTCCCTTGTTCCGTCTTCGTATGCGTTCTTCTCCATTACGCGTCATCTGGATCACGTGATATGGACCCTGATCTGCATGCGATGTCTTGGCTTTGGTTAGGGCAAACATGTCGATATACATGTACTCCGTCAGCCTCTGTCCTCGACGTAGGAATGTAATAATCTGATCTATTCGGCTCAAGATGATATTAGGGACTTTATATACAAGAGGCAATACAATGTCTTTTCCCCCTTCTCGGTATTATGGGAATATGAAATGAGTAGCCATCAGATGCAGAATGCGATAGATCTCATAAAGCGCCTTTTCTATGTATTAATAACAGAGAAGCTTTCCATGCTGAGGTGTATGTAGATAAATCTCCTATAAAATCCGATCTTTGGGGTACGTACCTAGGTACACATGGGCCTATATGCACTATATCCCCCAAATGTCAGACCTATATGGATATCCATGAAAATAGACAGGACTATGCCTAATCGAGTAGTCCACCACTTGTATATACAGGAAGGTTCTCTTCTGACTCTGCTCCTTCCTCTTGTTTCCTTCCCCGTTCTCTATCTCTCTCTCCTTCCATCTCACTTCTTCTTAGTCCCAATCTCGTCTCTTCTCACCATCCCACTTCTTCATCTCCAAAAGTTCCCTTATGTTTACAGTCATCTCGCAAGAATCTGCTCGGAATCCTTTTCGTTGCATGTAAGCTCACTTGGTTTCCAACGAGCCTGTTTGTCCCAACCTTCACGCAGCGACTTCATTGCTTTTTTTTCGTTTCTCTTCTTTTCTGTCTCTATCTTGTTTCTGCTTCACTTTTAATCTCTTCCAGTTGTCAACATGTCTACCCTAAGCGGACCTTCAACACTTGGTCGAATGGGGAATGGAGGACGTTTTACCTCCAATGATGCCATTGATGTGCGAAATCTTTCTTTTGGACGCGAATCCTCGGTATGCTTCACGGGAGACTCTTGAATCGAATCTATAGCATACTAACCACATTGGTCGCGGCAGAGCCCTCAGAACCCCATTACTCATTACGGTTCTTCCGATGGGGCTGAAACACCCCGACATGGAAAGTTGCAGACCTTGTCTGGTGAAGGGGCTGAGCACTCGACAAGCAAGGTATGTGTTTCCTGTGGTATCGATCCACGTATGTATGTGTCTGTGATCTCACAATCCCAGAAGCAGAAGCTAGATCATATCAAAGTTGAGCCTTTGAACGGACAAACATCGGATCTTGACAGAATACTGGCAAAAATTTCCCCCAAAACAATCCCCCTTTCACGTTCTGAAACCGATCGCTCCTCTGTTTCGTCCCAGATCACTCCTACCACGTCGGTGCCAGCTTTAACCCTCAATGAGACAACCAATCCTTACCCCCAGGAAGACAGAACGGTAGAGCTGCTTCGCCTTAAGCAGGAACTCCTTGCTGCAAATTCCAAGATTGCCCTGCAAGAGCAAGAGCTTGCTCAAACCCGCGTGATAAAACATACCTTGGATCAAGCCCTTGGTCCGTCATCAGAGGCCGATTTCGGTAGCCGCGAAATTACAGAACAGACTATTAGTCACCTACAGAATGCTTTTAATGCATCGAACTCTGCATTTTCTCAGTTTCAAGATGCATGGGCTGTCCAAGACGATTCGCAGTCTGACGTCTCGGATCCGTTGTCTACAGGAGCTTACAACAGATCCCGCGCACTCTGGGCCCAAAATGAGACTGCCACAGACAGAGAATACGGAGAGAGCCTTTCAGGCACTAGCAGCTCTACCAGCCAGGACCCAAATCGATTCTGGGGAGTCTCCAATGTGTATCCTCCGTTTGCCGGGCCACCGTCTCTGCAATCACAAAGACCACACTCGGGTTCCTCAGCTAGTTCATGTGGATTTTACCCACGTCCAATTGGCGAGCAAATGCTGTATCCCCCAGGCCCTGTCACCGGGGCTCGTCGTTCCATCACTCAAAACAGTAGGGGCGGATCTCTATTTCCAATTCAGTCTACCCCTTGGGGTGAATTTGCTTCTGGGTCCTCTAGTGAGCAGACCACCAAGTCACCTTCATCCCCGAAGAGACCCCCCAGCGCCTTTCAGCAGGTCGGGCTTTACTCTGTACCCTCTTACCCCCCTCGACCGATTGGTAGCCCCCTCTCACCTACCGCTACCGAGTTTACAGGTACCAGCACGAATGAAACCACATGGACCAACTCGGCAAGAGATAACAATCTTCCTGTTTACATTCATTCTAACTCTTCTCAGATGAGCGGAAATTCCATCCAGACGTATGTGTCACCACTCGAACCACTCAACTATCGACGCCTGCTCGACAAGAATGTGTCGTGTGATTGGAAGTACATTGTAGACAAGATCATCTGCAACAATGATCAACAAGCTTCAATTTTCTTACAACAAAAGCTCAAGGTCGGCACAACTGAGCAAAAATACGAAATTATCGAGTCAATTGTGCGTCAAGCCTACCCACTCATGGTCAACCGCTTTGGAAACTTCCTCATACAACGCTGCTTTGAACATGGAACTCCGGATCAAGTCGTCGCCATCGCGAATGCGATCAGAGGAAACACGCTAAACCTCAGCATGGATGCGTTTGGCTGCCATGTGGTCCAAAAGGCATTTGACTGCGTTTCAGAGGATCATAAAGCTATGATGGTACATGAACTTCTCCGCAGAATTCCGGAGACGGTGGTGCATCGATATGCGTGCCATGTTTGGCAGAAACTCTTTGAGCTCCGGTGGAGTGGTGAGCCTCCGCAGGTAATGGCAAAAGTAAATGAGGCATTACGTGGAATGTGGCACGAGGTTGCCCTTGGAGAGACAGGAAGTCTGGTCGTCCAAAACATCTTTGAGAATTGTGTGGAGGAGGAAAAGGTGAGTTTCCCTGCCAACCTGAACCTGCTACCATACGCATCAAACCCCTTTTCTCGCTGCCCTACTTTCCTGTGGGTTCTTCATATTGATTATACCAATACTAATATCTTAAAGCGACCAGCAATCGAAGAAGTACTGGCGAAGATCGATGTACTCGCTCATGGTCAATTCGGGAATTGGTGCATCCAGCACATCTGTGAGCACGGTGCTCCCCACGACAAGAGCCGCGCTGTTGAGCATGTTCTTCGCTGGGCTGTTGATTACAGCATGGATCAGTTCGCATCCAAGATCGTGGAAAAATGTCTCAAGATTGGCGGCACCGAGTTCATGGATCATTATCTCTCTCGTGTCTGCACTGGCCGATCCGACCGGCCTCGCATGCCATTGATCGACAGTAAGTTGCCCAGGCTTTGACACCGTGAAAAGATATTAATTTGTTTTTAGTAGCGGGTGACCAGTATGGGAACTATCTCATCCAATGGATTTTGATGAACGCCGCGCCTCATCAACGAGAGCTGGTGGCCAGTCACATTAGGTACTACTCCCCGACAGTCCCTTACTTTGAGTGGTCTGAAGTCTAACCTGATTCAACTAGGAAACATATGGTCTCTCTTCGCGGCTCCAAATTTGGCTCTCGTGTGGCTATGCTTTGCTGCAACCCGTCTCACGCTACACGCCCTGGTCCTGGGGCTGGAATGCAAATCGGCCGTTTCAACAATTTCAACGACGACAAGTTTACCACCACGGGCCCGTCCGGGGGTCGTTTCGGCCGCGGACATCAATGGGGACCCCATTATGCGCCACTTCGTTGAGCCCGTGTCTTGATTTGATACTTCATATTCACTTTTATCGCCATGCAATGAAAAAAGAGGGAAAAAAGAGGGAAAAGACATAATCAACAAAAAAGAAAAAGCATCATTTGAGCATTTCATCCCGTCTGCTTCCAAGCAGACACAGTCTGTCTTTGCCAGTTTGCCTGACCGTGTCTTATCAATATCTGTTGATCCAATCATTTCTGTTTCAGTATTGCGAGTTATCACTGCTAGCCGATTTATTCATTTGGCTTGCTATCCCCAGTGGCTATCATTTTATTCAATCTTATAGATTGAAGCTTGGGGCGTGTCACTTTAGTTTTCTTTAGAACCACATCTTATTATTCAGATTCTATTCCAATCAAATATATAATCCATCATAAACCTCACACGTGGATAGAACAGAATTTCAGGGAGCAGCACTTGCAGTCTCATCGGGGGCAGTCACAACCTCGTCTTTCTCCCAGGGTTTCCGTCGCCGTGGTTTCTCACTGGAAATATCGTGGCCACTGAGCACTGTATCTGGGATGTCTTGGATCCCAGGTATTGGTTGTCCCGTGGTGATGAGTTCCACAATGTGCGCAAATGACGAGGGGTAAGCAGGTTCAGGATGTGTTGAACTCTCGGGTCCAGGTGTGCTTGGCTTCGATGCTTCAGAAACTTGCAAGTCTGTATTGCCTAGCCCCTGGGGCTCTGTTGTCCGCGATGCTAACCATGATTTGAAGGCAGTAAAGTCAATAGTCGGAGTGAGCTTTTCTTTTCTATACTTGGATCAGTACCTGACCTATTCCGTGTAGTGTAATTCCGGCATACCGTGAGAAAAAGAAACACTTTGCTTGCAGGACAAGGTCGTCATCCCGGTTCATCTCCACCTCAGTGGCGGGGGTGTCGGGATGGCCAAGTATTATTGAGAGGCCATTTGCGAACTCGGGATCCGATACGAAGGAGTAAGCTTGTAGTCTTTCGAAGACCTGAGCTTCTGAGGGCTGCGCCATTATTTGATGAAGAATAAACAAAGGTCTGGGATGCGGAGGATGCGGAGGATGCGTGGGGCAATCTAAGCTAACTAGCCGAGGCTCATATGTTCTGGTTCTCCAATTGTTTACTCTGCACATTTTGACCCTTCTGGGCCTTTTCTACCCACCTCAAAAATGGTGAAAGCCACATGGCACTTGCGAGAAAATTCGTATTTTGTATATACAGACGCCTTACCCAACCCCCCGTGCTACCTTTCGGCCTGTGAACGGAAAAATCCAGGGATATCTTGCGACGCCAAACCATGCAATATTTGAGATAATTTCACACCCTAGACCGTGATATCCATTCCAGCCGACGTTGGGTCGCCTGCCCCAGAGTGTAAGGGTGTACTTCTACTTTGACAGCCGGGACAGTTGTGCACGACCTCATGGGCAAAGAGATCGCAGTCGATACAGAAGTGGTTATGGCACGCGGTACACTCGTAGCGACTGCTCACACTCATTCCCTTGGTGTGGTTCTCTGCTGTTTGCCAGTGGTCTTCCAAAGGCACGGGCGGAAAAGAAAGACCACAGGCAAAACAAGCGGAGCTTCGCGAGGCTCGACGCCACGGAACCTCCACCCAGTTGATCAAGGGAAATAGATGATGGTACGATCGTGCCAGATGAGTTGAAAGGATCAATGTGAGCCCACAAGATGGGCATTCAGCAGGAAGACTACACACTTTGCTGTTGCATCGTGAGCAAAGATAGCCTCCTCGCGAGGGCTTTGAATGGCATGCGCAGAGTGAGGGACTGGACTCCACTGTACGAGAAGGGAACCCCATCATCAGCAATGAGCTTGCAGATTCTTTCTGTGAGTAGGCAGCTGGGGGTGTAGTCACGTCCATCATCAGCTCCCGAAAGTGCTGCTCATTCAGTGCTACTCCATATGCTGTCTCATCACCACCATTGGTTTTTGTACACAGTTCCCGGCAAATTGCAACCTGGGCTCCAAGTCCCACGATACCAACCCGAATTTTGTCGCTAATCAGGGTATCTATCGTTTGGTGGATATCTCCAGGATCGGAGGAAAGGAGGGAACCATATATAAATAGCACTTCTCGAGTGCCATGGCTAGGTGTATGGCTAAATTCACTGATTAGTTTCGTTCAAATTCCCCATGCTACATATAGCGGGTGTAAAGACATACAAAAGAGCACCTCGTGCCATCTCCAATCCATTCTGAAGACTAGGCAAACCTTTCGGATCTTGTATCTTGAGGGTTTGGATGGCTGTCAGGTGTTCCGTTGGATTGCCACTCATGTCACTGACTCGGAGCGCGAGACCGTCTCTCAGGCCGAGGACACCAAGCTGGGAGATGGGATTTTGTTCGAAAAATTCCCTCACAAATTCCTGAGCATACCGGAGAGTCAACAAGTATCTCGTGGGTCGCAAGTCCTTCTCGGACATGGACTGTGAAAGATCTAGAATTAGGATGAGATGTCGAATAATACCGCGCTGTAGTGGTGTCGTATCTTTCAAAAGCCTGGACGAGCGATACACTTCAGCAAGAATGTATGGGCACTGTGAGGGGACGGGACGAAGGAACTGACCTTTTTCGTTTTCCGGCCTCGAGCAGACCTTCGACGGTCGAGTTGATGGTACCATCTGCACCCTCCACCAGGGTCTCCCAGGTTCTGGATAGCTCCCATTCTGCGCCTCCGCGGTGCTTTCTTTTGGCTCGCGGATTATCGCCCCGAGTCACCTGTAAATCATCTTCATCTTCTGTGACCTCCCCCACGTATTCTTCGTCGGAGTCGGCCATGTTCGTAGGTAAGAGTGGAGAGAGAAAGAGAGAGACCTCGGGAGGATCCAAGTGCAAGACCGAAAATGGGTCCAAGCTTCCGACGGAGCTCCGTTGGAGAATATCCTCCCTATCTCTTTCACCAAGTTGCAGGTCTCAATCTCTTCTAAAGCTTTTTTGAAATAGCTCCGACGATAGCCGTAGACGGTTAAGCTAGAATTCCCCCCGATGTGGGGAAGAAGATCCATTGGTGCTGGCGTAGCAGTTCGAGTTCTCCGTCCAGTCACTGTCCGCCCTACCCCTCCTCTTCTTTCTCGCACACTACACAAACTTTCTCTTTCGCATTCTCCTCGACTACGACCTCGACTGCCTACACCCGCCGCATTAGATCTGAGTTTCCCTCCCATTAGGCATTGTTCCGCCGAAGTCCGCATGATGGCGTCCCAAGAGCGAGAGACACTTCCTGACGTGTGAGTGATGCTCCGCTTGGGTCATCCTGTTTCTCTTTTGCTTCCTTTTCGTCTCCCACATTTGAGCCGACGTTTTCTTTCTGGTTTGCAGCATTGGAACTGACCTGATGATAGGGCTAAGCCTGTCAATTACCATGTCTCTCTTTTCGACTTGCAGTTCGGTGGCTCATGGGGATACAAGGGCGTGTTGAAGATCGATCTCAAAGTTACCCGTGCTACCAGCGAGATTGTGCTGAACTCAAAGGAGATCGAAGTACAAAATGCTGAGATATTTGCGGAAGATGGTAAGAGTGAGAGCATATCATTAGTGTGATATGGAAAAGGAAAAGGACTAATACCGGCCTACTTTTCACAGGGAGCCAGTTGGTCAAAGCATCCGGAATCACCTACGACAAGCAGTCAGAGCGAGTTTCCCTCGCTTTCTCGCAAGAGCTTGCGCCGGCAGACGTTGTGCTCTCCATAAACTTCACGGGTACCATGAACAACGCCATGGCCGGCTTCTACCGCTCGAAGTATAAGCCCGTCGGAGAGCCCTCTGCCGATACCCCCAAGGAGGATGACTTTTACTACATGCTAAGCACTCAATTTGAGTCCTGCGATGCACGAAGGGCTTTCCCTTGTTTCGATGAGCCAAACTTGAAATCCACCTTCGATTTCGAGATTGAAATCCCCAAGGGTCAGACCGCACTGAGCAACATGCCCGTTCAATCTGAAAGAGACGGAAACAAGCCCGGTTTGAAGTTTGTCACGTTCGAGAAGACGCCGGTTATGAGCACCTACCTTCTGGCCTGGGCAGTTGGTGACTTCGAATACGTTGAGGCTATGACCGAGCGCAAATATCAGGGCAAGAGTATTCCTGTTCGAGTTTACACCACACGGGGCCTTCAAGACCAGGCTCGCTTCGCACTAGAATGTGCCCACCGCACAGTTGACTATTTCTCGGAAGTATTCGAAATTGAATACCCTCTTCCCAAGGCCGATCTCCTGGCTGTTCACGAATTTGTGAGGAACCATTTATTCCCTATAAGTTCCAGGCTTTGCATTTGAGCTAATTGCGGGTCTCTAGGCCATGGGTGCCATGGAGAATTGGGGTCTTGTGACCTATCGAACGACCGCTGTTCTATTCGATGAAGGAAAGTCGGACAACCGCTACAAGAATCGCATTGCTTATGTTGTAGCTCACGGTTAGTCCCCACATCGATCTTTGGTATGAGTTTTCAAGATGGCTTTGATATCTGACTCACTTTATAGAGCTGGCTCACCAGTGGTTTGGCAACCTTGTCACCATGGACTGGTGGAATGAGTTGTGGCTGAACGAGGGATTCGCAACCTGGGTCGGTTGGCTTGCCGTTGATCATTTCTATCCTGGTGAGTTTTGTTCGCTTCTGGCCGATGAGCCTGCGACGCGGTATCTAATGTGCAAGCAGAATGGAACGTCTGGTCTCAGTTCGTCGTACGGAATGCCCGAGGTAATATCCATCCTGCTAAGACCAATATTGACGTTCTCCCAGGCTGAAGGTGTGCAACAAGCATTTCACCTCGACTCGCTCCGCGCCTCCCACCCTATCGAAGTACCCGTTCGGAACGCCCTCGAAGTCGACCAGATTTTCGATCATATCAGCTATCTGAAGGGAAGCTCTGTCATTCGCATGCTGAGTGTCCACCTCGGTAGAGAGACTTTCTTGCGTGGAGTTGCAGACTATCTCAAATCTCATGCATACGGTAAGGCGTCAAAGAAGAATATTTTGAGGAACATATGCTGAGTAGGTC